CTCAACAGGGGCCAGCTGATGAGTCTCTCCCGCGTGCCCGTGACTGCAAGTTGGTCGCAGAAAATGAGCAATGGAAGAAAAACTTGGAAAAGAGTTTTGCTGACAATTCACCTTCAGAGTCCTGACGGCTGGGACGACTTGAATACCTCCGCGGCCCGCAGCTCCACGAATTGGGAGGCGAGCCGGGAAGAAAGGGATACCCTAGTTATCCTGTAATGCGGCTGGCGTAGTGGGGTTTCCACTGTACATCGCAGTCTGTATTCGTAGTATATCCGTAGCAGCAACACTACTAGGAGTCTAAGCTGTAGACGGATCTAGACGTGTTGTAAGATGCAAATGACTTTCCAGTCACCGGTATTTGTTTACATGAGCTTGGGAATAAAGACATGTTAAGGTGTCGAAACGTCCACCTGGAAGTGTCAAGGACTCCTTACTATCATTCACGCAGTATTCTATCCTCACTTAAATATGTTTTAAGCAACTCATATCTCGAAGATGAGTACTCATGATAAAAAGATCATTGAAGTCAGGAAAATCTCGGCAGTAACAGCAGACTCGGACATGTTCATGGCAACTTGCTTCATCATACCATTCTCAATGAAACCGCAGAGAGACATGATGCTCTTCACCCGAGTCCCTGCAGAGATCCGCTAGCGCAAGACATTTTAAGGTCTCGCTAAGCTCGTGCACGTGCCACAACCCCCACCAACCCTCATCCCCCACCTTCACTTTGATCCGTGCGCGCGGGGCTTCCCCGGCCACGGAACGGCCCTCGAATGTTGAAGAACTCCCGTTACTTTGGACTCCCGATACTTTGATCGAATACCCGTCTGGCTTCCGGTTCTGACGTCTGTCGATCGACCCTGGACTATCAGGCTCTCCAGCCTTACTATTATTTTTGAGCTCCATTGTCGAGAAAAAGCCTAGACGCCACCATCGTCTGCCACAAGTTGTCACAGATTGGCGTTTCTCTGCCCACGCAAACTCGAAAAACCTTGGCCTGGAGCTACGGCCACTACCCGCGAACACGATACTTCTGAGTCGCAGCCTACATCAAAGTGCTAAATGCGGCAACCCAATGGCCGAAGCCCTAACCGTAATAGAGGTCGCCCTCTGCATTACTGAAGTAGTCGAGCGCCTCTGCAAATACATCTCGGCTGTCAAATCCGCCAAAGATGACATCCGCAAGCTCACTCAGGAGCTCCTCGCCCTCAAAGGCGCAATGGACCACTTCCACGCACAAAACGAGCGTAGCATGGATAACCCGCTACAGGAGCAGGCTCGCGCCATGCTCAAGATGACCCAGGAGACCCTCGACGCCATACGAAAGAAGCTCGGCACGCCAAAGACGTCGTCCTTGGGCCGCGCTGCCCAGAGTCTGGCCTGGCCTTTTCGGCAGGGTGATATAGAGGCGTATTTTGCTACTGTTGAGAGGGCCAAGACCTGGTTCATCATGGTACTGATGCGAGATTCACTCGATACTACGGCATCTGTGTTGTCAGAGATGCAGAAGCTGACGGCGCTTGTGCATGAGGATATTATTGCGCGCAAAACGGATCGGATGCTGGAGGAGACGGCTGATTTGCTCAAGTGGCTTTCGCCCGTCGATAGTGAGGACAAGCTTGTCAGTTCTAGGCACAATCGCGCGCCGGGCACTGGCAGATGGATAGTCGATAAGACGTTCCTGGAATGGCAAAGGAGCACTTCCACTGATCGGCCAGTATTCTGGATCACAGGAAGGTGTAAGTCATGTCGCCCATATTTGTAGTCCGCGCAGCATCCCATTGACACAACAAACAGCAGGATCCGGCAAGACGGTGCTTTTGTAAGCATACATAAGGCTCTCTCTCGTTGTCCATGCCGTGCTGACTGATACAAGCTCGCAACTCGTTGAAGACCTCAGAGCACACCCTATCGATGAGGCCTCGGAAGAGAACGGCAACATAGGTGTCGGTTTCCATTGCTGCTCCCTAGACGATGCGGCATCCCAAGCCGTCCCGAACGTCTTTGGCTCCATCCTGGCTCAGATAGGAGCGACAAACCCCAGCATCCTTGACCACGTCCGGCCGCTGAGAAAGTCGGGGAACAACCTGATCCCGCAGAACAACCTGACCGTCGAACAGATTTACGACGTGATGGGCGAAGCTCTGGGATTATTTGATGCCTTTTATCTCATGATTGACGCCCTCAACGAGACGAGCCAAGAACCTGTCATTGTCGAAGCCCTCTTGCACCTCTGCTCGAAGCACTCTAACCTACGGGTCCTGGTTACTTGTACGCGCGAGCCGGCGCAGCTTGAGCCCAGCATTTTCGTCCGACATATGAGCACACAGTCTATAGATTGTGATATCGAGGTGTATGTGGAGAAAAGGCTTTCGAGCGAACACAGTTTCCAGTCCTTGAGTGCGAAAGTACGAACCGAGATCAAGGACAAGGTCACATCAGAAGCCGATGGAACGTGAGTATCCTGGCTGGACTCCGTTGTGGTCAAGACTTACAATGCTGCAGATTTCGATGGGCCAAATTATGCATGGATAGACTCAGCACCCTCCGCACTGGAAGAGACGTACGACGAGCTCTGGTCGATATCCCGTCCACACTCAACGGGTTTTACGCCGGTATCCTCACCCGTGTACCCCAACAAGACCGGGCCATGGCCCGCGAGGCTCTTGCCTGGCTCTGCTTCTCCCTCCGACCGCTGCATCTCAACGAGCTCGCCGAAGCTATCGTCCTCGAAGGCGACGAAGTCAGCATTGACGATGACGACCGACTCACCGACCCCTCCGCCATTATCGAGATCTGCCAGGATCTAGCCCACGTAAGCGACCACCATGTCACCCTCGCCCACGACTCCATCCGCACATTTCTACAATCAGAATGGATACGGACTTCCCCTGCCTCGGAATACGCTCTGGACGCAGCTGTCTGCCACCAAAGGATCATGCGCAAGTGCCTCGCCTACCTCAGACTCGAGCCCTTCACCACAGGCCCCTTGGACAAGCTCCGGCACGTGAAAGCCAGGTTTGCAGCCTACCCGCTGCTTAATTACGCTACAAACATGTGGCCCATCCACTCTGAGCGTTTCCCCCTCTCGGACGAAGACGAGAAGCTCATCCTAGACTTTTTTGACACCAAGAAGCTCTCGCACGGCGGGGCATTTGAGGCGTGGGTACAGTTCGTCCTGCGCTCGGCGGACCTGGACGTCATCCGGCACACGGAGCCGCTCTACTACGCCGCGTCGTTCAACATGACGTCCGTCCTGCAGTTGATACTGAGACCAGAGTACAAGGTCGACGTCAATAAGAGAGGCGGACGGTTCTCTTCGCCCCCGTTGTTCGTGGCGCTCTGGAGGGACAATGTCGAGGCGGCCATGTTGCTGCTCAGGGCCGGGGCGGATCCGGATTCTCGGGATACGAGTGGGCAGACTAGTCGGCGCCTGGCCACGAGTCGAAAGCACCACGAGGTTGTCAAGCTTATGAAGGAGATGAGTCCGGCGGGGGCAAAAAGGGCGCCGACTTGGAATTGGGATAGGGGAGCTGAGGATGAGTGGGCTATGGAGGATGCTCTTGCCCAGGCGAGACTGAGAAGCTATATGGATGAGGGTTCCTGAGTTGATACCATTGCAAAGCATCTTCTCACCAGCAGGGGTTACTAAAGTTGAACATCAAGTATACACAACTCGGCTGGGGGTTATCCCGAGGCACTGAAAGGTTACGGACAATCCTTCCAAGCCACACTCTTTCAGCCGGAACAGTGTCCATAAGGCATGTGGTGTAAGTGTTTACGCAGTAGAGTATGATATCCACCTATAGTTAGGGGTCATACCTGCTTGGGGGAATGTCGGAAGACTTGGTGTGAGGTGGTGATGCAATGTGATGGGTGGTAAAAGATGCACTGCCACACCGAAGCTGGTGGAAGGTGAGAGGTGCTTAAAAGTGGAGACCCGATCAATGCCGTTGTGGCTCGTGGCGGTATTCTGGACAATGCAAGATTACTAAGCCGGAAGGTAACCCCCACTACAAGCATCACGTCACGTCTTCCGGTGAAGAGGTACCTCCCCCAGCCTAGCAGCACAGCGCTAAATGTTTTGACGGGTGCGCTTGCACTCTTTCTTTCTCCAGGTCACTCACTGTCCACTGCATCATCCCGAGCTTGAGCAGTACCGCCGCGGGCCTCTCTTTTTGTGATCCCAACAACCTCACCCAACACCCTCACACCTCTCTTCCACCACCTTTCCTTTTGCCTTTTTCCTTTTCCTTTTCTACCTCGCACCTTACCTTACTCCGCAGCACTGGCGATCGGTCCTTTTCCGTTCACATTCGTGACCTTGCTATTGGAGACATGCACATGCTCCATTATTCGGCTTAGCTCAGGTACATCTTTCTGGTTCCTCCAGCTCACATCACCCACCACCCCCAAAGCGGCAGCCGGTCACAGACTCAAATTACATGCCAAAAGACACAACTTACAGCGCACACCTCTCACATCTGCTCTTCACTGGTTATATGCCTCTTGGGGTTTGCGAATATTTCAAGCAGGCTGTGGTACTGACCGTATTTACACCAGGCTTTCCACTCGCAGCGCTGCTCTCACCTGCCAGGTACCTGCCGACCTAAGAATACAACGCTGTCCTACCGCACCTTCCGTTCTCCACCGATAACGACCCCAACATCGCTTCGGCTGACGTTCTGCTCTCTACTCCGTACACCAATACCAACTTTGGATTGCGCCTGCCCCAACTTTGGGCATTCTCCTCGAGAGCCTTCTTTTCCACTCTGACCCAGATCTCCGGCTACTGTCAATAAGCAGTCGAAGCTGCGCAAGAGCTTCAGCGCCAGTCACCCTACTACAGCGCAAGTCTTGCCCATACCTAAGCTTCCGCCACCCCAAAACGACTCCATAAATCATTCAGTCTGGCGTTCCGAGCTCTTCGCGCTGCCGGCCTCGCTGTAGGCCTCGGTCTTACAGCCCTCGCCGCCTACAATAGCAACCAGGCCGAGATGGACTCACACGCCTCAAGAGGCGGGCACTTGGTTGCCACGGATGGCCGAGAGGTGGTTTACTGTCACGCCTGCTCCCATGAGTGGTGGCAAGATGAGCATGGTCTGCAGTGCCCTCGCTGCGAAAGCGAGATCACAGAGATTGTACGATATATATCCACTGACTCCCCTCCTGCCACATTTGCTGACATACACCCAGGTTTCTCCTGAAAACGACCCTAGAGAGATTGAGGACGGGCCTCCTCTTCACGATTCCCCGAGACTCAGACGTCACATCTACGACGACGATTCGGACCCTGAAGAGGCCGATATAGAGGAGCATCTGCATCGCGGCCCAGGCGGGTTCGTCGTACACCGAGCCATCTGGGACAATTCCCAGCGTCCGGGACAGAACCCAAACCCAAACACCCGCCAGCCCCCCGATGTGAACGATGGCGACCAGATCATTCGACGCTTTATTGATATGGTGAATGATTTCGGCATGGGCATGCCACCGCGACCACCCGACGAGACTCGCCCTCCTGGCTTTGGCACTGGTGGAAACATTTTTGGCGGTCAGGGCAATGTTCGCACGTTCCAGAGAACAGGTCCCGGGGGCACCACGAGCTTCACGATCGCCACTGGACCCATCCATGTTCACCAAGGAGGAGCCAACTCGCCTGCTGGAGCTGGAGGCGACCCCTTCCAGTCGTACGTCAGCCTTGAACCTCGTGCCCGGCCATTGCCTGGACCTCGAATCACAGTCGTTTCCATTAGAACGAATGCTGACCAACTTCCTAGTATCTTCAGCAGCGTCCTAGCTGGAGCGGGACCCCCTCAACCGGCCGGAATGGGTCCAGGCCAGGGACAGCGAGCGCCTAATCAAGCGCCTACTCTTCTCCATGAAATTCTCAACATGCTCAACCCAGCCAATGCCTCGCACGGCGATGCTGTGTACACTCAGGAGGCCCTGGACCGGATCATTTCTCAGTTGATGGAGCAGAACCCGGCATCAAACGCGGCACCCCCGGCGACTGAAGATGCGCTCAGCAAGCTCAAGCGCAAAAAGGTCGACAAGGAGATGCTTGGCCCCGATGGCAAGACAGAGTGCACAATCTGCATTGACGACTTCAAAGAGGGTGACGATGCCACAGTGCTGCCTTGTAAGCATTGGTTCCACGACCAGTGCGTCGTCATGTGGTTGAAGGAGCACAATACTTGCCCTATATGCCGTACGCCGATTGAAGAGCCTAGCGGCGGCAGCAGCAGCAATGACAACAACAATGATAACAATGCCAATGCGAGCGGTTCAAACAACGGCGGCAACGACAACAACCCTTCGCAAACTCGCCCTGGAGCAGCAGCGCCCGGCTCTTCAGAAAGCCATCAAGACTCATTCTGGCCTGGTAATGATCCGGGACACTGGGCAAACTCGATGAGAGGGATTCCCCCTCGACCAAGCTACATGGACGCGACCCCTCCGGTCCCTGCTGACTCCACGAGACCCCAGTCGTCATTTGTCGATGAAGTCTATGGACGCTACGGGGCTTCCAGCACTGGCCGCAGTGACCCGCAACGTCCCCAGGAAACGAGTCGAATGCCGAGCTTCCGATCCGCTAGACGTGACTCTCATTCGCCCCCGAGCCTCCGCCGACACCAGTCTGATGTGTTCCGAGCTAGGCAGCGGAGTCCTTCGTCTGGAAATTGGGACAGAGGTCAGGACAGCAACCAGGACAATAACCAGGACGCGGGATCCAACCACGGACCGCTTAATTGGCTGAGAAATCAGTTTTCTCGAGGATCGGGTTCGGGAGACAGTAACCCGCGTGAGAGACGGAGACAGTGAACTTGTGGCATTGATTAATGGAACGGAATGGATCTGGGTGGTTTGCCAATGAAAGATTTGAGCGAGCCACGCGGCTCCAACGCGGCCGGTAGGCATATCACGAATTACGACGAGGGTCGACGGCGTTTAGCATTGGTCATTGAGACCGTTATTCTTTTTCTTGAGCTCGACCGCGCCGTCGTGGGTCAGACTTTTAGGACCCGCAGGGCATCTTCTGTACATACTTGGGACCTTGTCACAGGAAAACAGACAGGCATCCTCCTCTTGGTGGCGAGGGTTAGGCAGGATAAAATCTCCGTACTGCAGTCAGCATGATAACAGGAAGTATCCGTCCCAACGTGAATTGCATGAGTGTATTTCTGTATTGTGGAATGGACGGCTAGCAGCGAAGTCAAGAGATTCAAGTGATCACCCTAAAGGATGCATCGTGAAACCGAGTCTCACGCCAATCTCATAAAGGTGGCCCCGAGTGCCCTCCCCGTCTCTGAATATCCCTCGGTATTGCTGTAAAAGTAAACGATAACAGTCACTCCAAAGCAGAAGGAATTGCGTGCGTTTCCGTTGCAAGTATATTGCTCGTGAGGTAGAATAGAGATGTGTATACGCCCCGTACACCGGTTTCAAACAAATAGCCGTCGTCGTTACTTCCATACAAATACACATTACCAGATACTTTGAAGGGGGGAAGAACGGAGTAAGTAGTGGTTTCGACACAAGCGATGCGCTACGCAGACGTAGCCATACCCGCACATGTGTCATCCTTTACATCCCCCTCGCCCCCCCTTCGAATGCAATCGCTCCTTTTCATCATCGTCTTCATCTCAGGTGCCCGCCCCTCACACCGACACCTCATAGTCCATCCCTCTCTCTCTCTCTCTCTCTATCTCTCACAGGTCGTCACACCTATCTCCTCTTGACATTCCTCACCAAAAACGCACCCACCACACCCGCCGCGACCGCAACACCACTGATGATCGCGACGCCCATGAGCCCTTCCTTGGCGACCTTGTCGTCGACGAGCTGGCGCAGGTTGGAGGCCTGGAGGTTGGCGGGCTCCTTCTCGAGGAGGAGATCGTTGTAGCGGCGGGCCTCGCCGTAGTTTCCGAGCTTGTAGTTGCCGAGGGCAAGGTAGAAGAGGCACTCGCGGCGGCGCTCGGGGGAGACGCGGAAGATTTCGGAGAGGAGGCGGACGCCTAGTTGTTGGTCGTTGCGGGAGTCTGATTTTACGAGGCCCTGTTTTTTGGCGATAAGATTAGTTGACGTTGGAAGGTGGAAGGAGAGGAGTATGGGTTATGGGATGTGGGGGCAGATGACATCGGCTACATGGGGAGGAGAGAGAAGGGAAGGCTATCGCACCCATGCGTAGTTGAACTTGGTTTGGACGCCGACCATGTCGCCTTCTTTTTCATATTGGGCGCGGAGGACCTGGAGCTCGGATGCCTTGAGGGGCCTGCGATGCGAGGAGGGCTTGTTAGTTCACAATGATTTCGCATGTGCGGGTGTCGCGGGGATGGGAGGTGGCCTTGAAGATGAGAAGACATACGTTTCCGCGTCGAGGGCGTCTGCGCAAATGATCAGTCATGGATTACTTCCCGGCGACATCATGTTCACAGCATAGAAGAGGAGGGGTGGGGAGGGCGACTTACAAGGTAGATCAACCATGGCTGCGATGATGCGGTTGACTCGTGGCTATGGGAACGTCGTGTGCAAAGGTATTTTCTTTTGTTTTGACGGATCGTACGAGTGTCCTCAACTTCGTAGTGTTGTCGTGGGATGAATTGTTCGATCGTGTGAAGGTTCGAAAGCAGCTGTCACGATTGCAAGGTATGACAGGGCTGAAGATGCCAAAGCGTTGAAAGATGCTGAATGCAGAAATCGAGAAAAAGGTGGCAGGCCACACACAGCTGGGAAGAACGGGATCGGGAAGAGTGGCTGAAGCTCTGACATTTGAAGATGCGTGGGGACTCTGCCGGGCGGGCCACTCTGGGGCGGCGGCGGCGACGGCGGCGTCATGTGTGGCGGATGACGATTGCTGGAGACGAGCTGAGGTGGGGCTGTTGAGTCTGTGACAGGGGTCACTCTCTGTGAGAAACTTAGTCATCACTGATTGTCGTCCGGGTGATGCCGTGCGATAAGGTAAGCTCGGGGCAGACGGGCAGCGACAGTTTTTTGTTTGGGGGATTTCTGTATCCGGTTTAGGCTGGTTCGTTCTGCCGTGCCTTATCCCACCTGCACGATTTCTAGTCGCATCCATCCAACGACCCAAGTCAATTAACGACACCAAACACCACCCACGAAAACAACGCGACATCACGACTCTACGTCCCCACGCATACGCACTTCCGTCTAGCCGCTTACACAATCTTCCACGGAGACAACACAAAATAATCAGCCAAGATGCTTTTAGCAGAGGAGCCCGCGACGGTAAGGTTGCCCCCTCCATTCCCCCGTCATCCCGCACTGTTGACGGCATCTACTTTCTCCTCGGAGAAGCGAATCGCTAACGGGAGACATGTCCTTCGCGCCAACAGCTCATCTCGCACACAATCGACAACTTCAACATCCAACCAGACAAGCAAGCCATCGCCCGCATCAATGAATCCCTCTCCACCCTCCAACAGGCCCGCGAGCTGCGTCTCCGCGAGGCAGAGAATGCCCTCAAGAGTACGTCCTGGTCACCATCTTCCGTCTCCTCCAGAATACAAGCCAGCCTCCTGTCGCCCAACAATCACAACCCGCTCCTTACTCCAAAGACCACAAACACCTCCAAACAAGATCGCAACAATGGAAATATCGAACCAAACTAACATTCCCACAGAGCTCTCCCGCCAACTAAACACAATGACATCCCAACACGCAGAACTGACCTCAGCCCACTCCTCCACCGCCCACGCCTCCGAAATAGCCCGCCTCGACACCACGAAATTCCGCACCGCAAAGGCAGCATCCGACGCGGAAATGGAAGCAGAGCGCCTCGCCCAACAGGCCGCAGACCTCAACGCCCGCCTGCAGGAGCTCGAGATCCAGGGGCTCGACGGCTCCGCCGACGACCAGGCGCGCCGCCGCGACCCCGTCGACGACGAGGTGCTGCTGCGGCTCAAAGTGTACCGCAGCCTGGGCATCGAGATTGAGCGCGACGGGAAGGACGGCAGCGGCACGGGCGAGTTCACGCGCGCGGTTGTGAGGAACGATCGCAAGGGGGATGTGCATGTTGTCAATATGGACAAGAAGTTTTCAAAGTTCTTCTATGCCAATTACTTTTGGCAGACTTTGTAAATGAGGGGTTTAAAGGGGAGGTTGGCTTCTGTTTTGGGTTTGATGACGGCGTTTGGACTTATGATCAGATACCACGTCTTGAATAATAGACACTTTTCTTCACGATTCTACAAAAGCTGAATAATTCCCGTTTCCATGAATGATGGAAAACACAGCCCGTCACTCACATGACATTTGAACATGAAATCCAGTTTCTTCAACGGCGGATAGCCGCATTCAAATTGATGGTTTCTTCATTGTTGATTCAATGATCGTCCGTCTGGACTGTTGTTGAGAGTGATACAGCCAAACGCCTACAGACTCCCAGTTCCTGGCCTTAATCCTGTCCGTAGATAGCCTCGCCGGGCCAATATTCCCATTCCTTGCCTGAGACTGTCCTTCATAGAGGATATCCCGATTCTACCTGACCTTCCTACCGTTGCCCGACCCAGGGACTTGATTCATGCCCTGTATCCCGGCTGTAGACAAAGGAAAATGATCCACACAACTCTCTTACACCACCCACTCTCGAGGGCATACTTTTCTCGTCAACTTCGTGGCGAGGGAGTCGAGATAAGAACCATGATTTTCTCTTTCCGCATCCATTAATGATCACTTTTCGTCATCCACCGGCACACCAGTAGCAATTGTTTCTCTCACGCCACGGCAACCTTCCTTACCGACTTGGTGGATAATGATGGAAAGTAGTCGCCATCAACACCATCAAGTGCTGTAAAGGCAATGTGCGTGTTGGTCGGTGTCCGTGCTCTTGAGCTGTTGGGCGACACAATAGCAGTATACCCGCCTCGGTTGCTTTCTGGGCTCCGGTTGCGACCTCCCTTCATCATGAGGTAGCCATCGCCGCCACCTGGAGTGGTAGGTCCACCGCTGGGGCTTCTGTGGTGATGTCGTTGATACTGGCGATCGGGCAACTCGAGACGTGAATTGATGGTCATCCACAACTCATCGTCATTTCCGTTTCCTAGGCGCCAGCCACCTAGACCCTCATAATCCCGATCGATACCGACAGATGGGAATAAGCCGATGCCTCCTGATTCCGAGATGGGTGTTATTGTGCCGACGGAGACGGCGGAGGCAGAAGACGGTCGTCTTGCGCGACGCGAGGCGGAACGCCGTGTGGGCGTTAGCGACGGTGACGGACTACCGGACCCCGGTGCCTTGGAGGCATAAGAAAGATACCTAGGACGACCGGTAATGTACGACGGGAGCAGAGATATCGCGAGATCAAAGTAGACGAGAATGACTCGGAATATGAGCACAGTGAAGGCGAGTGTTGTCGTAACCCCGGCAAATATCGCTAGCGGGATGGTGAAGAGAAAGAGGAAGGGGACAATGATGGCGTATACGGGGTTGATGAGAGCCATGGCTGCGATTGGTAGACGTAAAAGCCGTTTGATTTGGGGTCGTGATGATTGATATCTCGGTGAGCCCCTCGTTCACAACATCTCCTCAGCTTCCTCAAACTTGGCCGGTGCGTGGTTTATCTCTCGGTGAAGCAAGAGGGTGGCTCCGGGTGTGACCAGTAAGTCCCGGTGACTGAGTCGTACGATCCGGTCACTGTCGTTCGGTCGGCGGTCCGATCGTTCGATAACGTTGTAATACCCAGCCCACTGTCGACGATTCCCGCTCCTTCAACACTTGGAAACAGAAACGGGGGGGGGGGAAACCAGGAAAAGTCGTGTGGATGGAAACCTGGCGGTTTTGTATGATGCGGCAACGGAATGTCAGGTATTGCGTAGGAAGATTTGGTGCACACCTAAAGTCAAAACTTCAGAGACATGGCAGACGGGAGAGGTATGCTCAAGAGAATTGGGATGAGACGAAGGGGAGCCGGGAGCGAGCCTTCAAACCTAGAGGTTGGTGGCTCTCTGGGGTGTGGCAGTACGGAGGGTGGTCTGAACCACACCGGAGAGAAAGCGAAAAGAGTACGCAGCACTCCGTACAGAGTAGGGGTGCAGTCGCTGTCGGATCGAGACTTTGTTTGGTCTCTTTCACATGCCGGAAGCTAGCGGCAAAGCACTAGCACCGCCCTTGTCTTCTTCTGCCCTTGTCCTTGGTCTCCTAGCCCTTCTTGTCCGAGGGGGCGTTCGATGCAGTGTAACGCTACCTTATCAGAGTGAAAGAAAAAACTGGAGAAGCCGAAAGCTGCACTATCACAAGCTACAGGGTCTCGGAGGGAGACTACACCTATTGCCAGTCACTTGGCTGATGATGGAATGCGAGTAGATTTTGTGGTGATCTTGACTGTGTGCTCGAGCTTTCGTTTGCCAGGAGAGTTTTTCTGCCCGCCATGTACGGGGGTTTCGGCAAGGAGAGAATTTGAGCAACACCTACTTTGTCGTCGTAGGGCCTGTGGGCTCTCTTTCGTATTCCACAGGGTCAACGTTTTCCGAGCCTGGCACGCCTGGATACTTCAGGCCATCCAATATTGAATGTTGTTCAAATCAAACCCCGCTGGGACGACGGATGAGGGAACAGAGTTTGCAGTTCCTGGACGGTGTCTTTTTTCCATGTGAAGAGCGACGTGTTTCTGACTGACAGAAACGGCTGTGGGGAGGAAGCGGAAAACAGAGTTTGCCGGGTGAATCAGCGTCTTGACTTATGCGCCTCCGGGGGTCAGAATCCTTTGCCTGCGAGCTATTGCCCAAGTAATGCGCCCTGGTGTTCATGGGAGAGTGACGAAAGACAGCAAACGTGCGTTCCGGACTTGGGATGGGCGGACATTGTATGTGTGTGTGTGTGTGTGTGTGTGTGTGTGTGTGTGTACGAATAGGTATCATGCCGCTATCAGCGTCGCCAGACAAGACATTGGTTGGTAAAGACAAATGCAAGTCCACCATGTGGTTGGTAGGCAAAGAGATAAGAGGTTCGTTTCGGTGAGATGAGTCCGCTTGTTGTCCGAAACCGATCGCCGCGTCTCCGCATTTCCATACTGAAGGCGTGCCAGGGTCAGGGTCGGCGTTGTATGGAAGGTCTGGGGAAAGTGCAGGGGAGAGTACCGTAGGCATCCCGAACTGTAAACCCCGCAAGTCCAGAACACACGAACGTTGCCAGTCAGAGCTCGACAGCGACGAGCAACGGGCAAAGAGGGGCAGAATGGCTCGAGAAATCTAGCTTTTGTGTGCCGTCGAGGTAACGTTAATTATGTGTGTAATGATTTAGCGTTCTCTATGTATGCAGCAGACCACGGTGGTGTGTGAGCCGCAAAGATTGGACCGATCTTGTCAACGGTAGGCCGACATAGCGAAGATCCCTCGCAAGGGCGAAACGCTCGGCATGGCGAACTTTGGGAGACGAGCCATGACCATGACTGCCGTCTGCCGCACCGGGTTGGCCCTGGACGGGCGGGCAAGATGGTCTTGATTTCCCCGCGATATCAACATCGAGCAATTGATTTTCTCCAGTCACAGCCCGGATAGCTGGATGAAAATCCCGGGGTGCATGTGGATGTCTTGGTTGTGCAGTCGGTGTCAACTCCATCTACCCCAGACCAGACCAGCACGACCATTGGCGGTTGTCTTGGGGAAAGAAGTGTCGGTGTACTCCGTGGTCTATAGCATTCTTTGCAAGATTCCCACGGCCCATGCTTCCCTTGTGTGGTTGTTAGCCAGCGCCATTGGTATAAAGGCAGACGCCACAGCAAAAACAGGCATGGTGATCGTCAGAAGCCAAAGCTCCCCGAACAAGCTTGCGACGGCCAACGAGCGCAGACCGCGGAGGGGTCGAGGCACGGCGATGCAACCGGTAGAGTTCTTATTGTCCTAGGTGCAGACCTAGACGCAGCCCTAGACCCGATAGACTGACAAGCGGGCGATGGGACTTTGGGGTCTCTCTGGCGATAGGAAGCTGTGGAGGTGTATTGGAGGGTGCGGCCTGGACTGGTCACGTATGTATTGGTTCTATGTGATTCGCCAGCTTGGGGTTTGCCGGTGAGGATTCGACGGGCATCGAATGTGTCGTCGTTGTAGGGTGGCTGTGTCTGTGTTGTGCGTTTCTGCAGCTGGTGCATGCGCTACACGCCGAAGATACCGACCGACGTGGTGTTTGGCTGCGGCATGACTTTCGAGAGACGACACAGAGACTGGGGTCTGATTCCATGGTAGGGCATCTTTGCAAGATACCTCGGTGGCAGTGACGCTCTTCTTCCGATTTAGGAAAAAGTTTGGACGAGGCAACGAAGAGGAGGCAGAGGAGGCAGAGGATGATGATGAGGCGCCTTGGGATTTGGGAAGCTCGACGCAGCAAGGGTCTCGAGTGTCTCCTTCCTGCCTTCCATACTAAGCTCCTTCCTGTCCATCCGCGCTCTTTCCGTGTCACACATGGAGGTACTTGCCAGTCCCGCTCCCTCCCGGTCCCTTCCTTCCCCCGGCCGTCCCCGTCCATTTCCCGTCGTTCCTTCCAAACTTCAAGTGATCCAATAGAAATGGAAATGAGAATGGAAATGGAAGTCGCAGAGCCCATGTTCCATCGAGTCGCTCCTGCCCTTGACATCATTCCACAGCAGCCCCACTAATTGCTCGTTCCAGATCTGCCTGCTCTCCGAGGCTCAGAGGCTGCTGCCCCGCGTTTCTGCTTGTCACTGCCACAGCATCATCGCGCCCTTTGATGTCGACAACATCGAGATGCTCCACTCCAAAAATATCACATCACCGCACATCATCACCTTTGCGCCAGTGTGACAGTCTCTCTGCGGCTCTTTGCACTTCTCAGTCGACGGGTATCCATCTCCGGCACCTCGGCCAGCGTTCTGTTTACACCACCGCCGTCTCCCCTGCGCCCTGAACGTGCTTCGAGGTATTCGTCCACGCCGTCGTATTCGCAACCCCTCCGCCGCCGTCCAAGACCGTCCCAGCGCACCGCGGTCCCTGCTTGCAACCGTCACCCAATCCCATAGCTCCAGTCGTCCCGTTCCTGGCCACTCATTTGCGTTTGCAAGACGGCCAAAGATAGTGAAAGGTTCCGGGGTGCAGTTCACCGGTTGGAGGTAGCGATAGTCAAACCATCTACCTATCGTGTTATACCTCTCCTTTGAGCCACAGCCGTCTCTTTCTGTTTGAGGCCAGGCGATCACCGTCATTCCCGCTTGCCCGTAAAACTCAACGCAGTACGGATACACCACCAGCTCGAGGCCAGGCCAAGCACCGACCATCCGCCAGTCAAACACCGCTATGTGTGGCCAACACGACGGTGAGGAGCTTACCCGCTCCACTGTCGTCGCCTCTGTCTCGACTTCATCAGACCCCTTCCCCTGGGAATCTGGCATTTACGATGCTCATTGCCACCCCACGGACACCATGTCCACCATCGAGGCTATACCCAGTATGCGCGCCTCGACCCTAACCGTCATGGCCACCCGGAGCCAAGACCAGGCCCTCGTTGCTGAGGTTGCTGCGTCCCACGGTGTGCAGTCAAAGTACGAGCTGTCTCAGGGCCATCTGATTCCCTCCTTTGGCTGGCATCCGTGGTTCTCCTACCAGCTGTTCGATGACACCGTGCCCGAGACTGAGAGGACGTACCATGAGGGCCAGCCAGACGCAAAGAAGCGCCATTACCAGGCCGTGCTAGCCCCCGCCCCTGAAGACCCCGACTTTCTCGACGCCCTGCCCACCCCGCGTTCTTTGTCGGCCTTTTTAGCCGATACCCGGGCCCGTCTCCAACATCATCCCCTGGCTCTAGTCGGCGAGGTTGGTCTCGACAAGGCCTTTCGCCTGCCCCAAGGACGAACGGACGCCGACGAGTCCTCTCGTGACCAGGCCCTTACCCCAGGTGGTCGCGAGGGGCGTCGTTTGGCGCCTCAACATGTCAAGATGCCCCACCAGGTTGCCGTGCTGAAAGCTCAGCTGGCCCTCGCCGGTGAGCTTGGCCGTCCTGTGAGTGTCCACGGCGTCCAAGCCCACGGTGTTCTCCATGATACCCTCTCTTCGCTGTGGAAGGGTCACGAGAAGGAGGTCGTCAGCAAGAAGAAGCGTCGCCTCGTTGCCGAAGGAGCCGAGGACTTTGATTCTGAGGACGAGTTTGAAGAGGATGAGTTTGGAAGGAAAGATATCCCGCTGAAGCCGTATCCGCCGCGGATATGCCTCCATTCGTACTCTGGACCTGCTGAGATGCTGAAGCAGTATACTAACCCAGCCATACCCGCACGCATGTTCTTTTCCTTTTCTTCGGCCATCAATATGGGTACCAAAGCTGGTGCTGATAAGATTGCTGAGGTTCTCCAAGCGTGTCCCGATAATAGCATTCTGGTTGAGAGTGACCTACACATCGCCGGTGAAGAGATGGATGCCAGGCTAGAGGAGATGTACAGAAAGGTGTGCGAGATTAAGAAGTGGACATTACAAGAGGGGGTGGAACGCATAGGGAGGAA